CGGCAGTGTGAACATGAATTGTGTATCAAGTTCAAGTGTAATATATATAGACCGGGCGCTCCTTCATCATCACTTTTATTGTTGAATGAATAAATAAACGTGTGTGTGTGTACATAAATGAGTGTACTGATGAATCAACCAAATTAATGGTCCGAATTAAACTTTATTTACTTGCTTATAAATTTTTATCACATCACATCAAATTAAATAATTGTTTATAATTAGTTATTTTAAAGAAAATACTCGACTTGAATTCAAAATACTCGAGATCGGTTCGAAATTTTTCAAGAATTGTAAAATTACCATCAAGTATATATATTAGTATTAATTATACATATATATAGAAAGGGTATTCTAGTAATTTAACATATATCTCGAGCTGCTCGACAATGTAAAATATAGGCTCGAGCTCGACTTGAATTCATGCTCGAGTCGCTCAAGATTGACTTGAATTCGGTCAAACTCGAGCCGAGCTTTGACTCGAGCGCTCGTGAGCGACTCACGAGCCGCTCGATTCATGTGCAGCCCTACCCGTGCGGCTTCGTCCAACAATTGGGATGGCCGAGCCTCGCCTAGAGGTCGCCAGTTTTTTCGTCCGAGTGATTTTCCCTTGTTTCAAGTGGCCACAGGCAGACCTTGCCGGGTTTATCCTGTGTTGAAAATCCCACATCCCACCTAATTGTTGAAAATCGATCAAGATAGCAACAAAGACTAATTCCAACAAACTCAGTCTCAAGTTTGACTCTGAGCAAGAGGATGAGTGCCTTTGGTTATAATTTCGTCAAAAATATTTTGGACAGAAAAGACAATTTGAAAAGTATGATTAGAACTTATACAATATATATAAGTAATATTGATGAGTATAAGAATAATAAATCAATGAATAATTAGAAGTAATGTTTGATTTTATTTTTAAAATTTGTATTGACAAAAATTGAGTAAAAATAAATAAATACATAAGCGAAGTGAATAATAGTTTGTCAAAAATGAAATTAAAAAAAAATGAAATTAAAAAAATTAAAAAAAAAATGGAAGCGTCTTTTAAGGGGGCTATTGAGTATGGGGCTATTGAGTATGAGTTATGATTTAACTTAACCGATTATAACCGGTTGAGTAGTTTCATATCCAATCACCTAATTCAAAATCCAATTTGACTCAATTCTCATACTTTTTTATAAACTAGTAAAATGCACGTGTGATGCACGTGATGTCGAATAATTTTCGCTGAGTAAGTTTGTAAAACAAATTAATATATCATTGCAGAAATGAAGTAAAATATAGAACAAATGAACTCATGTAATTTTTTATTTAAAATTAACGTAATGATGCTCTAATATAAAAAGAGGGAAATAACGTTTTAAAAAAACAAATCTCTCATAAAAAACACAAAGATTTTCTTTTATTTTGGTTTTGACGTTCTCATACGAAACATTCATAGTCGTTCGAGTCCAATAAATCAATACTATTGCAAAATTCCTCTTAATTAATTTGGCAAAATGCCAATTTTATTCAAACACTTAAGAAACATTCTGATCCAACATGTAGTCAAACTTCATGATCGTATGATCCTTATAATAAGGTACTTCTACTAACAAACCATAAATATCTCTATGAAGTAACTACGGTGTCATTGAAATTGCTGATATTTTTTTATCATTGTATAAACTACTACATTCCTCTGTTTTTAGAGAGGTTGGTGTCTACTCCATTGATACATCGCCCCACGAGAAGGTAATGAATTTTATCTCCAAATTAACGTTAACTTTTCAAAATCTTGGTTATGTTACTTCTCTTGAGGTGCTAAATTATTTTTTTGTAATCATCATACATTACCTGAAAGTACCTCTAAAGTAATTGCACATGTGTTCGAGAACAATACACCAATGAGATTATAAATATTTCTATAAAAAGTGACAACTTCATTCGAACATTCAAAACTGTTTTTATACTACTACATTTCATTTTCAGTGTTATTTATTTGGATATAGAAGAACAATATAATCTATTATTTAAAAATCATTGATCATCACGGTTGTTGCAGTGATTTTTGAATTGTTTATCATAATATCTTTTCCATTCATTTGAATATGCAATGTTTGTGTGATGTTGTGTACAAATTATTTTTATTTACCGAGCACCAAATTGAAAGATTCGTTCCCCGGGTCGATCTCACGAGGAAGGTGGTTCGGAATTCAGCTTTGGTATTGACAACACACAAAAGCAAAATAAATCCTAACTCTCTAATCAAGATGGATTGGATATTATCAACTAAGAAATTAAGAACATGAAAAAATATAAATCTACCTAAAAATAAGAACGACACGCAGATGAGAAGCTAGGGAGTCGGGGACAATTAATTCAAGTTCTAGGAAAATCGGGCAATTCATTGTTCGGTTTAAGATTGACACTCTTGCTTAGACATCTAGCGGTTCGCTCCCAATAACTCTTCGTAACAAGGGATTGAACATAAACGAACAAGTTCGAGCATACAACACAGGCCAATTATCCAATTCCCAATAACTTTTCGTAACAAGGGACGGGTCATCGACAAGTGCGTATTTCAATCTAAAACACGTAGATTAGTCAATTACGACATCATCTACCTCATGTGAGCCTAGGTCTACGACTTCTCCCCTTTCGGTTCAAAAAATCGCTAATTTAACTGGAAGGTGTTTAATCAGCTAATCATATAAAATCGACAAATCCTAACTCGACAAACTAACATTCAATTGTTTCCAACTGCAAGATTGAAGTGTCACTCTTCGATTATATCAGTCAATCAAGCTCAAATTCATCAATTCCTAATCAAAATAACTCACATAAGCAAGAACAATTCAAGCCCGACAAATGCATGTTAAACGAGAATAATCATCCCCTATCCCTAGCAATCGGATTTAGCTACGTAAAAGCGATTCAACACAAGCAATCATTCTCCTCAAATCAACCATTTTCATGAATTAATAAAAAGAGAAACGAAACTTACGATTAATCTCAAATCCACGCGTTGAATACGAGTTACAAGCTTAATCAAGAGCAAGAACAAATTCTAGAGGAAAAATAGAAAAGAAAAACGAAAAAAGAAGAATCGAAGAGAAGGAGAAACGAAGGATGAAGAGGAATTTTGCGTGTTTTCTCGGACCTAGGTTTTCACCTGGTCGAGAGTTGTTTTTAATCGAAGTCGCGTCGATTATATATATGCATAGCAGGTCACGGTGCAAGAAACCCCAGCACGACGCGAGGCGCGCACTTGCCGCAGCGTGAAGGGCTGCCGCGGCGCGGAGGATGCTTCTGTCACGGCGCGATGGCGTAGCGCGACGCGGGGCTGGACTTGTGCAGCAACGTGTTGACCGGCGCGGCGTGGTGGAAGAGAAGCAGCTTCTGTTGGCTTCGTGACA